GGATTGTTATGTATTGATATTTTTAGTAAGAAACTACACGTTGTTCCAATGGAGAACAGAGACGGTGAGACTGTTTATAATGCTTTGTTAGAGTGTTTTAAAAAATTAGGTTTTCCTGAAAGCATCTATGCCGATGATGATGGAGCGTTTAATTATAAGAAACTACAAGACTATTTTAAAGGTGAGGGAATAGAACACAAGACAACACTAACACACGCGAACGTAGCGGAGAGAAGCATTCGCACGATAAAGAAGATGATAGGGGACAGAGCGAACAAAACGAAAGGAGCATGGACAATATTATTACCGCCAGTCTTAAGAAAGTATAATGAAACTATGGAACACTCAACGACAGGGATGACACCGAATAAAGCACACGATGACAGTAATGCTGTTAATGTTAAAGCGAACAGTTTAATCAAAGAAAAGTATTTACGAAAGTATCCAAAGATAGAGGAAGGTGATAAAGTTAAAATATTTGTTAAGGGTAAGGGAAACTACACTAGTAGGAAAGAAACAAGAAACCAGTGGAGCGACAGAACATATAAAGTTAGTGCTGTTGAAAGAGATATGCAACTCAATAAATATTATGTTGTTGAAGGACAGAGTAAGAAATATAACAGACACGAGTTGCTGTTAGTTGATTAACATAAAAATATTTTTCTGAACCCAAAACCCTACCCCAAAATGACTTAAAGAAAAAACGCCTTAATATATTAAGGAGATATGGAAGGTGGATTGTTCAAGTTTAAATACTGCTGGAAGTGCGAGGAAATAAAAAACGAATACAATATACTACAAAACAAACTATCAACAGATGTGTTTAGTAAAGTGTGTGATTATGTTAAATGTGAAGATTGTAAAAATAAAACAATATGGAATAATATATTAATTAAAGATAGAAGTAATAAAGTAATTGAAATTTTTGAATATTTTTATTATTATAACAAATTCACTAAAGTTAAATGGAATATGGATATTGTAAAGTTAAATAATTATTATAAGAAGTCAGATTATGATGAAATATTTCTTGATTTTAAAAACATATTGCAAAGAACAAATAATCCATTGAAGAAAATAATGAAATCATACTATATAAGTAGAACAAGAATTTTAGATTTTAATCAAGAAACAAGTCTAATAAAAAATAAATATATAATTTTGTATTTATTCAATGACATATTAAACAGTAAAAATAGAATAAAAAATAACCGTTATAATACCATTCAAGATGAAATAATATATATATTTTTGAAAGACCTCATAAACATAATGGTTTTGAACTAGATAAGAAGTTTATTGTAAAGGAGATATTATTAGAACTGCTTGATTATTATTTAGTAAATGGAACTTTTAATATTACGAGAGATGAAATTAGAGAGCATATAGAAAATACAATAAATTGAAAAAGCAAGAGACAAACAAAGACAAGACACTCGCCAGAGGCTCGCGTGCTAAAAACGCGACTTAAAGAGAAAAAGAAAGGAAAAACGAGAGAGAGGAGAATAAACCGTAGAAAATAGAAAAGTAGTTAGATAAGAAAACGAGGACTTCAAGAGAAAAAGGACTAGGGAAAACGAAAGAGGAGGACAGAAGAACGAAACGAAGAAGGCGAAAGGGAGTGAGAAAAAGAGGAAAGGAGAAGAAAATAACGAGTGAGGGGGAGAAAACCGTAGAAAACGAAAGAGACAAAATTAGTGAAGAAAATACGAGAATAGAGAGGGAAAAACGAGAGAGGAAACGAGATTTAACTTTAAAAGACAGAAAACAGAAAACGAAACAGCAACCCATAACCCTAAAACCCCAGAATCCCCCTTTTACTAATTTTTTAACCCATCCCCTCCCATGAGCCCTAGGCCCTAAACCCTGAACCCTATACAAACAAACTCTCATCCCCTGTGAGCCCGAGCCCGCCCTATAAACTCTATAGCCTATAGCAAAGCTCTCAGCTCCTGGCTCCGAGCTCCGCAGCAGTGAGCTGTGAGAGATGAACGGTGCCCTGGCCCGTCCTCAGCTTTTCTGGGGGTTTTTGGAGGGGCCTTATGGTTTAGGGGGTTTAGGGGGTTGAGGGGTTTTTTGGGCAATTAGGGGTTTTAGGGTTTAAGGGCTTTAGGTGCTTCTGGAGTTCAGGATTTTTGGCAACCCTAAACCCTAAACCCTAAACCCTAAATTGGGGGTTTGGGCTCCAGGGAGGCTTTGGGGCTTCGCAGGGGCTGATGGCTTGGCTGGGCGTCCAGGGCTTTGAACACCGTAAACACCCTGAACCCCTAAACCCTACACCCCAAGAGCCATACCTACCCTAAACCCTGAACACCTAAGCCCTAACCCCAAGTAAGTGATCTACCTGCTCATCAAGACCCCCTGTTCTGTGTGTCTTAGGCCCTGGCTTGTCTTCCGACAGCTTCTTCGCAATGTCTTTCTGTTCAAGGGATGCTTTTTTTTGTCACTCACACTCGGACAAGCCTGGCAAGGTCCACCACGATACTGTCTTCAGAGAATCGGATGCGGGTTTAGGGTTTAGGGCTATCAAAAGCGTCAGGGTAACATCAACATCAAAAGATGAATTGGCTTGTCGTCTTGACCACCAGAACAGTTACAAGTGCGAGTCGTGAAAACCGATGCACTGCTGAAAGTGGTACGCATAGCAACACTCGTCGGCGGCCGCCGCCGTGGTACATGGTGAAAGGGTCAAAAACCCTAAACCCTAAAACCTAAAGCAACAAGATGCCATCCTTGCCTGGTCCGCAAAGACGGGAGTCACGACCGTGGGAACGCCCGCACCGAGAGAGGCCTGTGCCCGCCGAAACCGTCGTGCCCAGCTTCTCACCGCTAAGCGCTGAGTCAGCGTTCTAAGTCTTTCAATGTGGGGGGCCTTAATGATTAGAAAAGGGTCTTGATTTTGGATGCGACAATGATATTCTACTGCAGAAAGGAACCCTACGGAGTACTCGTGTGAAATATTCCGACCCATGACAACTTCTCGTAATAACTGTGGAGACTGTCGGGCTCTGCAAGAAGGCTTCTGAAGTCTGCTTAACTTCCGCGGTTTCAGACTTAAGCTGATTGGTGACTCCATGTAGGTTGTGGTCTTCCTGTTCCAAAAGCAAGCGGCAAAAAGTAGGTACGTACATGGGAAACCTCGGGCACTGCGCTCCTAGGCTGCTCCTTCTTCGTCACCGTTTGCTCAGCATAGCGGTCGAAAGCTCTAGTGCGCATCCCTGTATCTTTCAGCCCAGCCCCAAACGCCAGCAGGCCTGTGTTGTACCGATGCCTCCGTGATGCACGCAGCCTAGGCATTATGGAGGCGTGGATTGGTGGTCTGGACGCCCATGTGCCCCGGTGCATGCTGTCAAATGGGGCTCCGACAAGCGCACTGCGGGAAGAGCCATTCGTGAGGCGCAGACTGCCAGCAGTTCCCAGACACTTCTGCAGGACCCCAATTCCTAATCCTACGATCACTGCAGACGCAGAACTCGGAAAGTCTGCACGACAAGCTACGGCCTGATCGCAACAAGCCGAAGATTTCATCGATTGTCGTGGAGGTATAGATTTGGACCCGTCTCATGCGAGAGGGACAGGCCCACGGTGCTCGTGATGACTGCTCATTTGGTAGAAAGCTCTGTCTAGACCACCTATGCCTCGATGAAAAGGGAAAGGATGTCTGGCTGAACTAGCAACATACCATCAACTGAAATACACCGCTGACAAATGGTTGGTCTTGACCCAAACATGTGCTGGGACATGCGGTTGAAATGCGAGGGCGGATATAGAGGTTGGGTTGGCAACCTTACACCCTACAACTTCGTCTAAAGCATGAAGGCACCAAGCGGACTCAATACACAATCAAACTGCGTTTTCTGCAGCAAAAACCACTTGCAAGAATGCCGATGCTCAGAGCTTGTGACGAACGGTTGTTGAGTACTTGTCTTTCTGCAGGTCTCCCGAGGGCGCGGTTGGCACCAACGATCTTATCTCTGAGTTGGGCATGCCTTCAGGAACAGCACGTTCTCGCGGCTGTATGCCTGCGAAACTTGGCATGAGATACAAGTTTGAATAACGAAACACTCTGAGATGCAGGTAGTGTAGCGGCTGGCCCCAAAGATTGGCCGCGCCTGCCTCTGGCTCTGAGCTTATAGGCTTGAGAGTGCTTACGCTGAACTGGTCATGACGAGCACGGGATGGCGCGGGCATCTGAGCTAAGATGCCGACGAGAAAAGCCCAATGCAGGGTACCCAACAAGGTGTGGACAGCAGGTTGCACCATGATAGACAAGGTATCGTCAGGAGAAACTCTTTTTCGATGGCAAGGAGGCAAGACAACACACCTGCAGGCATGACAGCTGGACATGTGACTGGAGGCTCGCCCGAAGAATATGTAACATCTTCACATAAGCCGTTGGTGGTAAAACGGGAACTCCAACTTCAGAGATGTTGTCTGCGAACTTCCGAGATGCTACAGGGTTCTTAACAAGTTAGGTAGCAGCTAGGCTCTGAAGATGTAGAATCCGAAGAGAGGGTGGTCGGCCTGACGGGCTGTAAGCAAGGTGTGTCTGGCATGTCTATCCAGCGCTGGCTGGATGGGACTTACACAACCCGAACCCCAAGCCATCCACGGTCCCGAACCCTCTGCACTTTCGTGCCTCAGAAGGCCCCGACCGTAGCTCCACAAACAAACCCTGCTGCCTTGAGCTCTTCGTACTCGTCCCCACCTAACGACCTCGTGGCCATAGGAGGGCATGCTAGCTATCTTCAGAGAGTGACATAGGGGAGGTATGTTCGTCGAGGAGCTTCTGAAGATGCTTCTCCCGACAAGAGCGTACGGATCTCTTCTCTTGGTGATGCTATACAGGAGCGCTCGACATCGTGAAGGCAGGTACCCCCGCAAGATCGAAGCTACCAGGAGCTTCCGGGGCAAGGCTGCGAACCTGGAGCCTCGAGCCCCGAGTAGATGGAGCCAAGTTCCCGAGAGCTGCGATCCCCACACCCGGAAGCTAATCACTCCTCAAGCAGACGAGCGTCTTTGTTCGTTGGGCTTCATCACCCTTTTGCCCCGAAGCCATAACAGACTCAAAAGACACCCCTGTTTGTAGGGATCGGGCTCCGCCGAGAGCTCAGCCCAACCTGGAAAGCTCTCGAGGCAACACATCCAGGCGTTCAGGGATTCGGGGTCTGTTTTTGTCAGTTCGTTACGAACGGATTTTGATCTAACCTGGATTGTGTCTGGACTTGTGGTCTTCTATCAAAAAAGCCGCCATATATTTTGGTAATGGTGCTCGTCATCCATCGCCGAAGCACCCTAACCGACACGAGGGGAACGGGGCCATCCGAAGAACAATCGGCCCGGTCCCGGGTTTATAAGCCTTGAGCTGAAGTGTAGAACTCTAACAGAAACCTGATCATAAGCACAACCCGAATAGAGAACCAGATTCAGTTAAAATAATGGAATCCGTACTATGAGGACGAACGGGGTCGCCTTCAACCCTGAATCCTAACTAAGCCCTCCTAAACCCTAAGCCCTAAACCCTAAACTCTAAACCCTAAATGCACTAAACCCTGACCCCTTAACCCTATAAGCCCCAAAGGTTCTTGCAACTCGACCGTGGCCTCCGACGATGATGCCGCGCTTCCCGGCCTGGCGGGCTGTTTTTCAGCTTCCTTCTCGCGTACATAGACCCTGACATGTAGCACCTTTTTGATGGTTACCAAATAGTCTCTTATATATTATAGGAACCTAACCATAAAAATGTCATCCAAGAAAAGGTAGTACATGTAAGGGTCTAGGTAGAGCGTTGCAGGTTTCGTGAGGGTCCTATAAGGGTTTAGGGTACTATAAGGGCAACAAGGGTTTAGGGTCCTAGAAGGGCCATAAGGTGTTTGAAACTTGGGGTGTAAGGAAAAGAAGCCCTGCAGCATTTCTAGGCTTTTTCCAGGTCCAAATGGTTTTTTGGCCTCCTTGAGAGCTCCGACAGCCAAGCGCGCCATGTGTTCCTGCGAGGGGGAGGCACGGGTGGAACGCTTGGCAACCAGAAAGGTGCGGGTTTTCCAAGGTTTGGCTTTCGCTTCTTTTTGGATGCCCTAAACCCTAAACCCTACCCTAAACCCTAAACCCTAAACCCTAAACCCTAAACCCTAAACCCTAAACCCTAAACCCCTGAACCCTAAACTCTGGGTTTCGGCACTCTGGGGTTCAGGGAGCAGGCATACAGCTGAGGGTTTTCGATTTGCGGAGGGCTTGCACCTGAGGGTGTAGATTTTCGGGCCGAGGCTTTGGGCGTCACAATCAATTAAGGCTCCATTTCGTCATGTCGATTAAAGGTTTTTTTGCTGCATATTGTCGTACAAGTATACAGGGACTACACAGGAAAACTGCCAATTGTTGCTTATATTCATTCCGACAGCCTGAACCCCAACGCCCTAAACCTCAAAGCCCAAATTCCGTCATGTAGAATCCGAGCTTTTTGTCTTAAACTCTCAGGTGTCGGATGCTCCAGGCGAGACTGCTGAAGGTCGAATAGGCGGAAGCGGTGAACACGTGTGTGGGCATTGGGCTCAGGTGCGCTCGGGAATGAAGGTCAAAGTGGAGGTTTGGGCCCGGGGCCGCAACCCTTAACATTACTACTTACCTAATGCTATTAAATCGCTGTCCCTTCGTGCCCAGAAAACAAGGAGATGCTCCGGAAAGTAAACAGCCAGCCAATCGACAAAGGCATTATCAGGGCGTAAGATGGCTGAAGAGCTGAACTACCGCAGATCGCCATGGGCTGTGGTTACTATGATGGACAGGTGTCGGCCTTTCATGACCCACCATGTCACTGACCGCGTGTGGTCCTTTGAAGAATCTATGGCATTATGCTCCATGCTCTCAGTCCTCGTATATAACCCTGCAGCTTCAAGCCTTAAACTCAACCCTTGCTGTGGAGATGGATAGCTCTCCCGTCATCTTCCGGCCCTCATTCAGATCTTGCAGCTGGGCCTCATGTGTCGGAGGGCTTCATCAAGGGATCGGGCCGAGATGTGATTCCGTTCTGGGTTTAGGGTTTTTTTAGTACGGGACTTCATGGTAGAGGGCAAGGGACGTGGTTTCAGATCAAGGCATGGGCGGTTTGTGCAACGTTCCTTGGGTTCGAGCTTCGGGTCTGGGTTAGGTTACGCTTCTAGACGAAGGAGCAATGGAAGCATCTAATGTCCACACCCTACTGGTAGCCCAAACGTGGGCATGCCGCAAGCCCCAAAAAGTCTTAGACAGCGAGATCCCCAAAAATCTTAGACAGCGAGGTCCTGCCACCCCACCCCGGCCGAGAAAATGGCACTGGAACACCAAACACCCTTCCTTCGTAAGCTTTGGGCCGCAAACCCTAAACCCTAATCCCTAAACCCCAAACCCTATACCCTAGACCCTATATACCCTAAACCCAATACCCTAAACCCTAGACCCTTTACCCCATACCCTATACCCCAAACCCCTAATCCCTAAACCCGATACCCTAGACCCTCTTTTCCCCATACCCTAGACCCTAAACCCGACAAAACCCTAAACCTTATACCCTGGACTCTAGACTCTAGACCCTAAACCCGAAGCCCAAATTTTGAGGGCCGGACAGGGGAGCTCAAAGCTCAGCCTTGCTCGGCCTTAGATCCAACTTGACTTGAGGCAGTATCTTTATGTTTAAACTTATCTATCTATATGTATATATATATATATGTGTTCGTATGGGTGTAGCGATGCAGGATTTAGTTCCGGGTTTTCCGGTTTAGGGGCTTAGGGTTTAGAGTTTTGCAGCACATGCATGTCTGATCTCGTTCGAGGATTCTTCTTTCTTTGGGCTCGGTTCATCCTCATTCCAAATCTTGTGTTCCCTTCTGTGGAAGCTTTGTACCACACAGCAAGAGTTTCGTGGAAGGATTGGCACGTGCTTGCCAACTTTCCCATTCAGGAGCTGCCTTTTTTGCTTCATGCTTTCTGACTACCGCATGCACACGGCCGTGCCGAACCGGACTCCTCGCCCCGATATAAAGACATCATATCACAGCCGTGATAGGATCAGACAAACTTGTTGCACTTCTCGACCGGTGCCATATCACAGCCTTGAGAGAAACAGATGTGCGCTAGGCATGGCCATCTTGAGCTTCGCATGAGCAGAGCCGCAATGGATTCTTCGGCCTCTTGCAGTGTGTGCCTGGCCGAGCTTAAGGAGGCTTTCCTACTATGCGTTCTTTTCGGACTCAGGGCTTCGAGGGCTTCGGCTTCTCGACTTAGGCACCCTGATGGTTTCGTAGTACTACCTGTAGCTGGGGCGGTCTCGGATTTCCGGTCTTAACACAGACGAAACTCACGAAAGATCTTGTGCCCGACAGGTCTCTATCGTGAATGCAAAGGCCTTCCCGAGCCGGTGCACCCTCTGACAGCTGATGTTGTCCCGAAAGAAACGCCGAAATTTGCCTTTGGTTTGGGAAGCCCCGTGTAGGTTAACAGCCCTGACAGCTCCCCCATCTCTCCGGGTTGCCTGATCCTTTCTTGGCGGGTTCGTAGCCGAAGCTGCAATCTCCTATCCTGAGCCAGCAGAAAGGGAGGAGCCTAAGGGCCTACAGTTTGTGCGGCAGCTTCAAGATCCTGAGCCTTGGAAAAATACAATGACGTGTGTGTATGTGTGTATATATATATATACATATATATATATATACATACACGTATACATACACGCAAGTCTGTACTGATTTGAACCTGCAAATGCGTTGTGGGAGCGTTCAAGTTCGAGTGACATTACCCCGGCAGGAATGGGTTTGGACTTTCGCAGCTCGGAACTTTAGGCGAAGCTGTTGTGCTTGAGTCCAGTTTTTGAGGGCCAGGCCTTATATCAGGGTTTAGGGAGTGCCTCAGCGCCGGGCCGGTAGAGCGGCTTGGCCAGGTCCACCCCTTTCTCTTCCAAAGCCTAACTGACAAGGTTCCGGCAGCTTGCGGCTGTAGGGCTCAGGGAAAGTTCAGACAAATCTCTCATGGTTTCAAATCTCGTGTCTGCACAGCCCCAAGCGGCAACGTTCTCAAGAACTCAGCAGCTCTGGCTGACTATCTGATTTGAAGTTGGTTCATTTACTGCACTTGCATTCTTGAGGTTGGAGGGCTGCGGTGTTGCCCCGCGAGAAAAGCTTGAGGAACCACTGTTACGTTATGAAATGCAATCTGCGTTCAGGGGTCTATGGTCGTAGACGTTTTGGGTTTCGAAGGAGTTCCTCGAGGGGGTAGCGGTCATGCCGTTGTCGGACGCAGAAAGTTCAGTTGCTTGCATAGTTGCCAGCAAGGGGGAGAATCGTGCATGTAAGACCACAACAACATCCAAAGCTAAGATGATGCCACCAAAGTGTCAAACACTGCCCGCTGTGGTACTACCTCCTGCGGCACCTGAAGTGCTATGTTCTGCCTACCCTGCGTTCACATCTGCCGCCGCGGTCCCAGCTGCTTCTTCTGCGACTGCTACTGCCACTGCTACTCCTCCTGCTGCTACTACTGCTACTACTACTACTACTACTACTACTACTACTACCACCACTGCTGCGACGCCGCGCGCCTTGCAGCCCTTCTTCTCGAAGCGCTCGCCAAAGAACCACACGTGAATGCCTCAGAGAATGCTCTGATGGACGAGCTTTGGGTTTGGAGACCAAAAGCAAAACACTGCATCTGCAAACCGTTTCGCGGTGCCCCTGCGCTGGTTGCGTTGCACATTTCGTGCATTAACGTGGCTGGGCTACTCGCAATTGAGGTGCCACTGGGGTCCGAGCCTGGTGGGTATGTGCGATGGCGCGTAAAGGTAACACACTTTGGAACAACCAGTGCCCTGCACGGCACTTGAGATCTTCTCACCACAGTCACTGAACAATCTTGTATGCCACTTCTGTCTGCTGCCTTGCGTTTTGCTGTGCGCTGCATGGTTGTCCGATGCTGTACTCTGCAGGTTTAAAGGATTGTTTGCGACTGCCATGCTCCCGGGGCCGGGGTCTCGAGACCGAGGCCAGTGCCCCAAACGAAAACCAAGGACGAGGAAAGGATCCACGATGGTTATTTAGGGTTTAGGGTTTAGGGCTGTTTAGGGTTTAGGGTTTAGAGCTGTTTAGGGTTTAGGGTTTAGGGTACCAATCTTCAGCCCCCAAATGCATTGATCGGGGGGCAGAACTTTTTCGGAGACTCTTACAGAGCCCGAGCTGTGGATGGGGCGGCATGTCTTTCCCTAACCGAGGACCTAGGACCTAGGACCCGCCGAGCGAACCTAAAAAAGGCCTGAATTGTGTATTGACGCGGGTTCTGGGCCTGTAGGTTTAATTAAAAGATTCTCACCCTCTGCCCCTCAACATTTCGGCCACAGCGTGTGAATGAGCTTGTGATATCCACACCACAACCGCAACCACGAGCTGTGGCCCACCTGTCAGCCAAAAAGCCACATTCTTCAAACCCAAAAACAAGCCCGTAAACCCTCAACCTACTTGGTCCGGCACTGATGCTGCGGATTGCCGGAGACTCAACGAAATGGAACCTGTGAGTGTGTTTCTGAGGTGTCGGCAAACCGCTGGCGGCTTAGGGTTTAGGAGTAATTGGATGATGTCAGCTTTCAAAAGTAGAAGCTTATCAGCTCACCCCCCTACGGTTTCGTGCTTCGGTAGGTCTGACGGTTCGGGGCCTTGGTTTCCAGATGCTCCGGTTCCGCAGTCCAAACTATTTTCTGGAGCCTTTGCCTGCGAACTCCATGGTTTCATTCGCCCAGCAGCCAGTTGCGATTCACCCAGGCCCAGGTCCCTGTAGAGGCAAACTGCCGGAGAGTAACCCCCTGCGAAGGGCGAGGCACCCCTTTTCGCGAAGTGAGTTCTGCACCAAACTCTGAGGCGAGTTTCTGCACGGGTTTAGTATCATGTGGCTGGGTGTTTTCAGCAGCACCTGCCCAGTAAAGCATTGAAGAAGATGGGAGCTACCGGGGTCCCAACCAGACATGTCCAAAGTTCAATGTGCGGATTTGTTGCGAGGGTGACTCTGGTCTGGTTCGAACCGAATACCAGAAACATACAGTTATTTCAAGGGCCAATGGAATTTTCAAATTCTTTCATATGCCCAGGACCTGTCTTTCATCTTTCATCTGTTGAAACCTAGAGCTGCAGTTGTGAAGCTAGACCCACATGGACGGGCCATGTGCAAAGTCCCTTAACCTGAACCAGCGAAACCTTACCGTGTTCACAACAAGCCCTTCACAACAAGCCTATGTAGACCGAATCCCAAAGCTCAAAAACTCTCTTAGGCCATAGCCCCAGAACCATAGTCAGGTTCTCAAGACCCCCTTGTGTAGCTAAGCCATACCCCGTATGAGATGTAAGGAAACACTCCATGCTTTGAGGCCTTATCGGGCTCGCTGGGTAGTGAGCTCAGGCTCACGCCACTGACGCGGCACAAAGGCGCAATCTCCGGCCCTCAGGGTCATGTTCCACCACCTCACGGCACAGTCCGCGACTTTGATTTGGGTCGGTGGAGCCTTAGGGTGTGTAGGATTCCTATACCACCGTAAACCCTACCTATAGTCTCCATTGTAGTTCCTTTTTGGGGGATACCTTATAGAATCCTTAATCCATAATTGGTTAAACCAAAAAAGGAACTACAATGGAGACTATAGGTAAACCCTAAACGCGCGTTGGAGCGTTGTCGGCTTTTGAGTTTTTGCGGGGTGTAGGGCCAGCTCCGGGCTGGGAGTTCGGGTAATGTGGGGGGCCTTAACATGTAGAATAGGGTTTGGCGGGTGTATGATACTATAAATATAAAAAGGTATATACTATAAATATAAAAAGGACTATAAATATAAAAAGGAGCCCCCCAAAAATAGTATAGGCAATTACTGAGGCCTGTATACTAGGAGCTACGTTGTTTCTGAATGAGGCTTCGAAGCGCCCGCAGCCCTGAACCGCGTAACGACACAACCGAAAATACAACATAAGCACGCTGGTCCAGCAACCTACGCGAAGAGAGATAAAGGCATAGAAAGAGAGAAAGAGAGAGAGAGAGAGAGAGAGAGAGAGAGAAAGAGAGAAAAACAAATCTCAACCTAAACTCTAAGTACACAGACCGTGCCCACCGAGCCACGAAAGAGGAAGCCATCAGACCTGATCCCCCACCGCGACTCTCCAACCTACACCCAAGCCCCCACACCTTCGCTCGAAACAGGCCTAATATAGGGGCTTTAAAAATATTAGAATAGGGTTTTGGGGTATATTAAGCTATAATTATTATAAGGAACCCCCCAAAATATGATTAGAAATATTAAACCATAATTATTATAAGGACCCCCCCCAAAACAGCGTTAGAAATATTAAAACTATAGTTCTTATAAGGAACCCCCCAAAATAGTATTAGAAAGTTCTTGAAGCCCCTGAATCTGAAAAAAGTCCCAAATCCGATGGCCCCAGGTCGGCCTCAGCTGATCCCAGCCAGGATACTTCTCCAAATCGACCTGATCTTAGGGCTTAGGGTTTAGGGTTTAGGGCTTAGGGTTTAGGGCTTAGAGTTTAGTGCTTAGGGTTTAGTGCCTTGGGTTTAGGGTTTAGGGCTCAGGGTTTAGGGCTTAGGGTTAAGGCTTCCCAAACGCCAGCAGGAGAGACCACCAAGAGTGAAACCAATTCTCTTTCCCAACCTAAGGACGCCCATAGAGGGTGCCTCTCTGCTGGGGGAAGGATCCCGAGCCGTTGTGTTGAAATCACAGGAAGTCCCACCCTGCCTATACAGCCGCCCTAAAGCCTTTCTTGAACAAGGTCTCCCTGAAGCCTAAAGCCTACACCTTGAATCCTCAAACCGCAAGACCCTGGAGCTCTGAGGCCCTGAACCCAAAAGCCCCAAACGCCAAAGCGGTTTGGGGGTATACTATACTATAATTATAATAAGGAGCCCCCCAAACCCTATTCTAATTATTAAGGCCCCTATATTACTCTAAGATTGCATCCGCTTCCACTCTGCGAGACGCTTTTGAGCAAGTTCTGCTCATGTTCCAATGTGTACGTGCCTACGGCAGCAAACCACACACCCTGTAGATGTTCGGGGCCTGCTGCATACCAAACGGTATCTCACCAAAAGTGCGAGACTGCACAGCCAGATCTATCAACCTCCACTATCGCAACTGTTGTTGTTGCTCTGCTGGGTCTTAGATGGGGTATATCAAATATGATGTAATTATATATTGCATGTTAGATAGTATATGTTGCTGTACGGGATTGGGTCTCGCAGGTTTCTCTCGCTGCAGCAGCATCCTTCAGCGCAGCAAACTCTCAATCTCTCGATGCTGATTCTTCCGCCTCCACACAGTTACAGTGGCCTCCAGTATGCAGATGTTCATGCATATGTATTGGTACTCAGAATGAAACTTACGCCTTACATGAGAATATGGACCCTGCACTCTAAACATGTCCTGGCAGATCTGATGCTCCGGAGACTGGGGGCCATGCACACGTGAAGTCTAAGGTGGAGCACAGCACAAATCTGCGCGCATGCATGTCTCTTGGTCGCCCTCTATCGCATCTGTGCCTCTCTCGGCGGCTGTCTCTTGTAACCGCAATGTGCTTAGCTGATCATAGTATTCCTGTTGAGCCACTTATTGCTCAAAAGCCTCAACGACCATGGACCAAGAAACTTATGATCCTGATGGCCTTCCTGAAAGAAGTGTGTATGACATGAAATCTGGGCTGCCAGCATTGTCTACATCGATTCGTCCGGCAAACTGGCCATACCTGGGACTTTGCGCCTATCTTGTGCACGGGCTCCTACAGACAACTTCCGTAAGGCCCCTCATCTTCGCCCTGCGCTCTAAACCCTAAACCCTATACCCTAAACCCTACACACTACACCCTAAACCCTACACCCTAAACCCTCACCATGCCGTGAACTCAGAATGTGACCGAAAGCATATGCTTTCAGCCCTGGAGCCCTGCGCCTTAAGCCCACATCCCAAAGGGTTCCTCAAAGGGGTCTGTAAGGGCTACTACAAGGGTTCAGGGTTTCGGGTCCTTGATAATTTTAATAGGGTTTTGCGGTATATTCTACTATAACTATAATAAGGAACCCCCCACAATAGTATAGGTAATTATGTAGGCCCCTATAGTAACGCAAAGGTCCAGGGCATCGGCGCATCTTCGAAGGCGGGATCCTCGAAAAGCGGGCGGCAGGAACTTGCATAGTACACCGTGGCTCCCGCGTTCTAGTACCAGGGGGGTTATATATAGTGAAAAGAAATGTAATATACCATAGAATTAAAGAGCGCCCTCAAACCTAGTCTTACTACAAATATCCAGGCTTCTAGATGAAACCATAAAACTTGAACCCTTCTGCTCTCACGCTCGGACGAGGCCCGACGAGGTTCATGAGTCGAAGCTTTCTGAAAGCGTTCAGAGTGAGTAGGCCTTGTCATCTACCGTTTTCCGGCACTCACACTCGCACAAAGCCTGGCAAGGTCTGTAATTAGCCATCTACCGTTTAGGGTTTAGGGTTTCGGGCATGAACCCCTAAACCCTCAGCTGTAACCGCAAGATCAGTCAAGTACCCTAAACCCTAAACCCTAAACCCTAAACCCTAAACCCTAAACCCTAAACCCTAAACCCTGAACCCCCCCGCAGATGCAGCTCAGAAGGCTTCGGGCTGAAGGATCGCTCAGGGATCTTTCGGTGACGTCTACGTCTGCAACGTTCCTTTTTTAAAAGGGACCCTATCCTTCTGTAGGGTTTAGTGTTTAGGGAGGAGTTTTTAAAACGGACCCTATCCTTCTGTAGGGTTTAGTGTTTAGGGAGGAGGGCATGGACGAACGCATCAAGGAAACCAAGAAGCGAAGGCCATCGAGCCCTACCGCGCCTGTTTTCTTCAAAAAGACCACCTCTTCCATGCTGAGTTTCGAGACCTGTTGCTGATGCCCAGAAAGTCTTTCGCGGCATCTAATGCATCACTCACAGAGGCCTGCATTATGAGCCGAGCTTCTGAGAGTTTAAACAACTCGATTCTTCGGGCTCGCGCTTCGCTTTAGAGCGTAGCTGGAAGATCCCGATTCAGTCATGTTGCTCAAAACTTCTGCTGAAGCAGATGTGCAACAGAAAAAGAGCTCGAGAGCACTTTGAGTTAGGCAAGTGTCCTGAGCTGAGGTTCTTTGAGCAAATTATGGCGTACTGACACAGACATGATGATGCGAGAAGGGCAATCTCATGATGTCCCTTGCATCAATCACAGTCCTCGAGGCTGGCCCGAAGCGTTGGCTAGTGCCTTTGCAGTTGAAGTACGCGAACCCCAAATCCAAGATCTCATGTGCAGCTATTCATCTGAAGACTCGAAGCCCTTTCAAGTCCGCCGCCAAAAGAACGACGTTTTGCTTGATTCCCGCACTGCCACAGCACCTCATGCAATGCTACTCTCATGATTTCGGTTCTATGAGCGGCAAGTCAGTTTCCAAGCTGCGCTGGCTCCGGAAAGTATGCAATGGCGATTCTTTGATGCTTACACTCGGGCACCTGCAATTTGGAACTACAGTTTGGGTTGAGGGTTTAGGTTTTGGGGTAGGGTTTAGGCATGCCTAGCCAAGAAAAGAAGCTATCTGGGCAGCAAACTAAACTAGCGTCACGTGAGGAAGGGCTTTTTTTTACCAGCCCCATAATTATATATATATATATAACCCCAACGCTACTTGCAGTAGTATTCATGATTCATAAGGAGCCCTGTGGAGACTCACCGAAATGGGAACATGAACCCTGTCTCGCGTACTCGGTCCAGCTGTCAGATGCGACCCGCTTTCGTGTTCACCCAGACTTGCATCAATGGGCGCACTACCGAGCGGTAAACGTTAAACACGCAGATGTCAACATTAGTGTCAAAGCTACTGAGGCACCGATGCCACCTATGCCTGCTTTGAACCCGAACCAGGTTCCCGGTTTCGCATGAACACCGAACCCAAAACCTTTGACCCTCTGTAGAACGCCTATTAACCCTTCGTGTGGACTCAGGTTCATGGCCTATGAAGATCTTTCGTGAACTGCTGATAACTCTGTATGCTAAGTCAAAACCCAACCGATACCCTCGCCGACCTTGCCGCTTTCTCGGGGTTAGGACAAGGCGCCCGTGGCTCGTAAATTTCCCTTATGCTTTCAAAACACTAAGTTGCCCACTATGTTTCGCGTTTGATTTGAAGAAGCTGCCGGCGAGACATGTCCGACCAACTGTCTGCTTACTATCTGTCCCCGGCCTTCATCGGTGAGAAGCCTGTAACTACAGAAGCGTTTAAGTTTGGTGTTCTAGGCTGTCGGGATTTGCGTTTCGAGTTTGTGCAGCCTTGCGCACGCGAACCCTTTCGCTCAGAATCCGAAACCTGAAGTGGGGCTCTTTGCTGAAACCAGGTAACACCCTCTAAGCCCCACTCCATTGAGGATTCGGATTCCAATCTGGATCCTGATGTGCCAGGTCAAACATTGCTCTCCCTTTGGGGACCTGTGTACTACTCCCTAACACACACCCTAAATTGCGGCTTTTGTTGCGTATGGACTCTCAACTTAAAGTGAGGTTTCAGTCGCCTTCGAAGCTATGCCACTACCAAAATACACCATTAAACCAAAACGCGCCCAAAAGTAGTCCCGAACCCCAAGCCCCAAGGCCTGCAATGAAAGCTTGCTTCCTAAACCCTCAACTGGTTCCGCTGACTCAGAGACAGGCATTCAGGTTTAAAAGCCCTGGAACGATAGGGACACTTGGTAACGCCAACAGAGGGTCCCGGTCCGCAGAATGGTTATTACCGTTGGCTGTTCTTGCTACCAGAACCTCGTCTTATGCATGTACAACACCATTATATGTTCTACATGTATATATAAACTTATGTATATGTAGATGTAGGGTTGTACATACATGTATAGGTATGTACATCTGTATGTATATACTTACTTATTTACTTACTTACTTACTTACTTACTTACTTACTTACCTACTTACTTACATAACTAACTAACTTACTTACTTACTTGCTGACTTACTTACTTTCTTGCTTGCTTGCTTGCTTACCTGCATGCAGGAATGCATGCATGCGTGCATTCATATACATATATATATATATATGTATATTTATTTACACATTTGTACATGTGCATGTTTATGTACATGTATATGTATATATCTTGCCAAGATGCGAACTTGTGCATAAACCGACTTGCGCATGCATGTGCATGCCTGTTTAGCGGAACCCTCCGCTTGCAACTCCCATTTGGGGGTTTCTGAAAATAGGGGACCCTAATGCAGTACCCTAAATAGTAGGATCCTTAATATAAGTACCCCCAAAATCCCCCAAAATAAGGCACCCCTAATTTTCGGAAACTCTCATCTCCGTAAGCCAAGGCCACCCTCGCTCGCTGCACTTCCGGATCGGCTCTCCGAGCCAAAATACCGCAGTTTTCGGGTTACAAACCCTAACCCCCCAGGTGCCTACTATATAGGGCCCTAGGGGCTAGAGTACCCTATGGGCTAGAGTACCCTATATAGTAGGTACCTGGGGGGTTAGGGAAAGATTTAGGATTTCGGGGCTTCTGCGTTTTTTTTTGCGGAAGCCTGGCAATTCAAAACGATGATGCCCGTAGTCGAGTTACCTGATGCTTAACACAGCCATCAGCCATCAACAACAATGGCCCGGCAACATTTTCAATTACTGCTATCATCGTCGAGTCCAACATGAGCCTCAGCAGTGCAACGTCTCCCCTAAACCCTGGCCCTAAACCCTAAACCCCAACCCTCGTGATCGTTGTCCCGGCAGTCTTCGAGAACAGAACTCCGAAAGCCCGGGCCCGAATTCACCTGAGACTCAGTATCCTCAACACCAATCCCTAAAGCGCAGTGCATTAGGTTTGTTTTGTAAATCAAGGTTCTTTATTTGAAGACCGAAAAACCCTAGTTTTCTCAATGACCTGAAGCCTCGACTTTACACCCTGAAGCAATGTAGAGAAAACCTAGGTTTTGGACAGAATGCCTCCAAAGTTTTCTGGCTGCACTACCGAGCCAACACCCCTTGACTAGGACGCAATTTCTTACGTCATAAGTGCTTTCTCGTCATGATGCAAGACAATGCTGACTGCAACCCTAAGCCTGCATCTGGGCCCCGGAGCCTTTGCCTCTCTGGCAACACCCTATGCCGCTGTTGTCACGAAAGGCTTCAAACATGAGCAAAGCTTCCAGGTATTGGCTTTGTGGGTTTAGGAAGATAGGGTAATGTAGGGGCCTTAATGATTAGAGTAGGGTTTTGGGCTCCTTTATAGTATACAGTATAAGCATAATAAGGAACCTAAGGAATAATAGTGGTAATTACGTATAGCATCGGGTTGATGAGTTTAGGATTTTTGATCTCGGGCAAACCCTACACGCTAGACTTCGAAGTGCAGTGATGCGATGATGCGAAGCGGCACTCCATGCCGTCGACGCAACCAAGTGAGGGGGGCAAACTACGAGCGGGTGGTTCCCAGATATGGACGAAGATCTTGAACAACAGCAACGTGCCGAATCCTGCAGAATCGAGTGGTCCATACCTTGGGTGCCAAACAACCCGTTCGAAATCAAGCTGAAGAGAGGCCAACCTCATCGTGAGACTGTCACAGCCTGTACGTCAGCAAAAGCCGCCAGGAAGCTTTTGCAGCATGCTCTACGGCAGCTGAAACTTACGAAACAATT